CCACATGAGGCCACTAAGCCACATGGGGAAAGGAGGAAGGGGAATTGGCAAGGAGCGCTTATTGGTGATGTTCCTACCTCAGTAAAAATTAAATTGCCACACACATTCCCCCAAAACACCCTCTGTCTATGAGGAGTGGAAGGGGCGGTCCCTATGCTAATACTGGGTATAACTCACAGGTAAGTGTTGTAGGACAAGGAAGGGCAGCGGATGGAAGCAGATCAGGCTGGGAAATGGCCACAAAGCATGACCAAGAGATGAGCCCTCACAGACTCCTTGCCAAGGACAGCCAACCTCTCTTGATGTCCTTCCTTAACCTCATTATTGCTTACTTTCTGAGGTAGAGTAGGGCATAGTGTAATTTTCTCAAGATAAATCTTTAAAATAACATGTGAAGTAGATCACATGTTATTTCTACCAAATTTTTGTATTCTACAGAAGGATGGATGGGAAGCAAGGCCTTTTTATGAGATTCATATTTACCATAGGGCTGAATCCAACCCTTGTTGAGAAATTATTTTTTCTGCAGAAATGAAGATATTGTGGAAGGTGACAATGCTCTTGTGATCTAACAGAGTAGACACACCATCCACTCCTGATGAAGGGAATCAATATCAAGTTTTTGCCATGATCAGGCTTTTTTGTTTGTTTGATTTGTTTTGTTTTTTCAGAGAGAGAGTTTTCCTATAGGGTACTCTTCAGAGAGACAGAGAAAGACAGACAGATAGAAAGTGATCATCCCCAGGGGGGATGATCACAAGTCACTTCTCCTTCAGTTTCTTCTCAGGATTTTGGACACACATGCACACATGCCCAACATGAGTTTTAAGTTGCCAGGTCTGGGACTTGAACTGTGGTCGACTACATGGGAGCCCAATGACATAACCCTTACACCATCTACTGGCCGTGCATGATCAGTTTTTAACATGTAATTTGCCTATGTGCTTTGGTGATAGAGATTGTCCAGCATTGGAAACCACAGACTGCAAAATCATGAGGTTTCATGTTGGAATGGATATAAGGGAAGCACCTGGAAATAGAAACTTGCCTGCTCAAAAGATTTACTGTGTAGCTGATGAGGTCTGTAGTACTTTACACAACAGCAAGTGCTATGGTTTGAATGTCCCTCCAAAATTCATGTGTGAGATTATGTTGTGATAGAATTAAGAAGGTAAAAACTGATTACGATGCCAAAAGGTGGGGACTTTGGGAAGTGGTTAGGCAGCAAGGTTAGGCCCTCGTGATTGACTCCTGTTGGGTTTAAAAGGAGAGGGAACATTATAGAGACTGATGGACACAGATGCTCTACCCTTGCCCTTCTGTTGTAATGCCCTGGGACTCTGCAAGACCCCCATCAGTATGGCCCTTGAATCTTGGACCTCCAAACTGTAAGCTGAATATATAAATCATCTAGACTGAGGTATTTTCTATTATTAGGAAAACAATGGACTAGAGCAGCAAGTGGGCAGAGATGCTTCTGAATTTCCAAGGCAACGTGACTGCTTTACATGGGACCAGCCAGTCAAGTGAGGTAAGACCACCCCTGAGTCAAAGAGAACACTTGTGTCACATCCTAAATATTCAAGCTAAGACAAATGATGAAGTGTGAAATTCCAAGTAAACCTTGCACTGGACAAATATTGATCTAGTATCCTGAGTCCTGAGGTGGTAAAGGTGCATCAGTCCTATGATCGGTCCTATTTACAGAGGCAGAAATTTGCTACTATGAAGAGGCCTCCATCAACCTATACACATCCCATTTCATGGGTTGAAGAATGGCACACCATCATGAACAGGTTTTCTTCTGTGTGGAAGGTCCTTTCTCAAACACTGAGAACTGCACAAGCAAGGTTCTTGGCAATAATGAATGTCAGTCCCCTTCAGCCCACCTCACCCTCTCCGCCCCAACCTCATCTCACCAGACAGACATATGAATGTCAGCGTATAGACGTGGACACAGTGGATGGCAGCCATGAAGCGTGACACTCCTCCTGCAGCCTCAGAGAAGCATAACAAGGATATATATATATATATGTATGGTGACAAAGCCCCAAACCCAAATCCTCAGAATGTAAACAAACTCTTCAGACAATTATTCAGATCCACAATTAGGTCCTGGTTCCAATAAAGTATGGGGCTTTCTCCCTATTTGCCTTGGTGAGTCCATGGCCAATAGCTCCTCCCACTGCTCTGTACCACAAGTAACATTGAGGGGATGAATTAGGCAGCTGGGAAGACTATAAGGACACTCAGAACGTTGTAGGGTGCACAGGTTTCTAGCTTAGTAGACAATTAGAGTAAATTCTGCTATGTAGTTACAGACATGGCAGGAGCCCATGGAGGTCTCATTGCATTGCTGAGAAGGCAGCTAGTGAGGCACAAAAAAAGTGCACAGTGGAGCTTCTGGAAGAATCAGTGTCAACTCAGGGAAAAACCAGTGAGCCAGAAATAGCTGAGGCCTTTCAGCATCATCGACCCTGAACTGTTTCTGAGCTGCAGACACAGGGAGCTGGATATAAGTCCCAACAGAGTCATTTTCACAAAAGTAGAGAGGGCTAGGATTTTTAAAAAATGTTATTAATTAAACTGATAACCTTCAAAAGGCTATGACAGGAGTAAGATGTCAGTCTCAAAACAAACTTCATAACAATAATCAAGCAAAGGTTTGACTATGAGAAAAGGTTGACTGAAAAATAGTACTCAGGGACTGTTGGATGACTTTATGGATATGCTCTAATTCTAATTATTGTTTTTAAATTTTTGTTGTAATTTCTAAATTACATTGTGGGGTACAGTGCTATTTTTTCAAAATGTGTACATAGCGTGCTGATTAAATCAGGATGAAAACATATCTACTATCTCCATCATTTATCATTTCTTGGTGGTATGCACATTTGAAATCCACTCTTCTGGTTATTTTGAAATAATATTGCTTTGTCACCAAGTTTCTTAACTCTAATGTGCTTTAGTATCCTTAGTTCTAATCTTTGGACTAGGAAGTGCACATTCATCTTCTGACTCTTTCTTTATTTGGATCTCACTGGCTCCAATTTCCTGGGTGTTGCTGTACCTGGGGCAGCTTTCTCTCAGGGACTTCCTCTCCCAGGACAATTGTGGAAGTCTGAGGTTCAAAGAGAGCTGAGGGGTCACCTTGTGTACCTGCTCAGTCATGTAGGAACCACTTGGAACAGCATCCCTGACAAGAGTCATCAGCCACCTCCTGGGCATTGCTGGGGGTAAGCAGATGAAAAATTCCTACTTATTCAAGGGAAATCTGCATTTTTCTGATGAGTCCTTTGCTGCTCCCCCCTCTAAGAGGAGTGTCTTCATAGCACTATGGACACCTTTTGAAATTAGGTGATTCTGGAGGGACACTCCTACTGGATTACTGAATAATTGCCCACTGAGTCACTGTTCTGAGTCAGGGTTCCCTTCCATGCAGAAATAGATAATGATGGAGCAATACTCCTCAGGTAGGTGCCTAGAGGCGATTGCATTGTAGGGAACTTGAGGCCACCACAAGTGTGATGAACACCATTCTTTTTCAGATTGTTGAGCCTCAAGACTTGGGAAATAATTCATCTCTGGGCCTACAGAAGAGGAACATTATGGAAAAAAAAAACTACATGAGAGGTTAGTCAAGGGAAAAGAAAATATTTCCTACCCCTTAAAGTAAAAATCAAGCACTGAATCTGACGCCAGATGTAGTGAAGAACAAGAAAAGCCAAAAGTGCTAGGCAGATTGCTAACTCCTGTGAGGAGACAAGAAGAAGGCTTCACTGATATTATCACAGACAGTTTTTTCCAACATCATCTAGATGGCCTTTTCATTTGGTTTGGAGCCCCAATATGTGCTCCTATGAGCATTACCTGTTTCCAGAAAAACAGCTTTCTCCTCACTCAACTTCCACCAAATATATAAGAATTCCCATATGCATTCCAGAAATGAACAAAATTTAGTCCCTTTTTAAACTTAAAAACCACTTAAAAAGTTTTCCTCAACAAAACGTTTACTTGCGTCATTTTTTTGCTTTGTGAAAATAAAATTTCCCCCCAAAATAATTTCCTTTTATTTTCTCATGAAAGCGAGGGTTGCTTAAACAAGAAAAATAAGTCATTTTCTGATTTTTTGAACAATGTTGTTTGCTGTTCGAACTTGTCTGATGACCCAGGAGCAAGGAACTAGAGTGCTCCTTAACAACCTCTGGTCTGGGCAACACTTCCACCCCACACATCATTTAAGCATGCTCATAGTATGAAGTAACCATGAACATTCTTCTGTGTGAAGAAATTGTAAAGAATTTCTTCTATGGACTCTGCAAGACATGCAAACACCTAATGAAATGTTAGAGAGAAGTGGATTTCAAACTTTCACTGTAAGAAGAAGAAAAAAGATACCAAGAGTTCCTTTTTTAAAAAAAACAAAAATCCCTATGGAGGAAAACCTGTGACATTTTTGCTCCCAGGAGCACATGCTTAGGCAGAATGAGTTTAATCAAGCCAACACTATGTCTAGCCATAGCCAGCACACTCCCAGAATTCAGGAGTCAGAGGTTATTTCCAATTCAGACGTGCTCCTTGCGGTTGTTGGGAATAGTGCAAAAGCAAGTCATTAGTTTTTGGAAACCAAGGAGAATGTAAGAAAGGTTGAGCAAGGACAAGTGACTGTTACAAAGCAGAACCAGGGACACCAGCCAGTCACTGCAGATGGAGCAGCTTTCAAGGGCATGCCTAAGGGGCCAGGCTCTATTGTACTCTCCGTCTCCCCTGGGAAGCTAGGTTTAAGGTCACCATGCACCCGCAGACTGACGTCAAATTTGTTTTGTTTTATAGAATGCTTAAGAAACAAACCAGCACTGGGGGTAAGTTGTTTGTGTATTTTTTCCCAGTGCCGTGGTTTCTGTCTGCCCTTTGAAAGCCCCTGTTTCTTGCTGTGGCCTATTCCAGAGGGAGCCTAGCCGGCAGGGAAAGCATTCAGACACAAGAGCATCAACACTAACCTGAGAAGTAGCTGCAGGTGAACTAGTTTCCTTACCACTCACTGCTGCCCTCTCATTGGCTGCAGTTTCTGCCACTTCTGCCTTCTGCACATTCGAATCCTCAGAACCTGGAGGCACTATTTGCCCCAGACCTTCACTCACTGGGATGCAAGGTGGGTTGGTGATGGCTTTCCGAGTTTGGCCTTTATACCAACTAGGGTAAAACAAGGGATCCGCAGTTTCTGCCGCTGCAGCGACTGGAGTTTCAGACTCTGTGGTCTGCTGAGAGCCAGTGGGCACAACCTCCCCCTTTATCAGGACAGATAAATTCAGAAGTAAAAAAAAAAAGAAGAAGAAAAAGACAAAGCAGTCGATTTTCGTTCCCTCCATGTTTGAACACAGTGAGTTCTGTGTGTGCAGTGCCTGGTTTAATGGCTTCTTTTGTTCATCCCACCCTTCGGAAGTGCTAGGGACAGAGTGTTAGTGACCAGCCCCTCTGCCTGGCATTTGGAGGTGCTGCCTCTTATTTTCTGTGCTTGTTTTTCAAGAGGTGGTAGCTTGAGCAGGTAGGAAGCTGAGGCTTCCAATTAAAAGTTGCTTTAAAAATATCAGCTATAGGGACAGGATCAAACAATTAATCAGAATTCATGTTTATTGGCATTATTTGTGGGCCCTCAACACCTCTTTTTAAAAATAAAAAATTGATCCACTTAATCATCCAACCCTTATTTAGTTACTACACCTCTTTCTATTTCAGTACAACTGGTATACCCAGAATCTCAAGATTCTAGGAACTATAAATAGTATTTTAGCCTGGTTTCCTATGGAGATAGATTGTAGAATATAATTCCATATCTAAGTTTCCCCACTGCAGTTTGATTTTAGCAGATGATTTCGGTCCACTCTGAACGCAGGTACAAAACCAGGGCTCCTCTCTGATGAGTCTATATCTCTCACACATTCAATAGGTTGGGTCCTGGTTGCTGAAGTGTCATGGAGTTGGCATGAGGCTTAAAAATTAGACAGTGACATTTTAGAAACATAAGATTAACCACTCAAGTGCCCCATTTGGGATGAGCTAATTTCCTAAGATATGTTTTAAACAATTCTGTCAACACACAGTCTCATCAAATGACAAACAAGAAACCGGGCTTCATTCCCTTGCCCACCGAAGGAAAGATAGGGTTATTTTTCAGGGTAGGCAAAAGGGACATATCCTTATGTGGTTTTTCTATTTGCTTCCTCTGTTATCTATGGAGCATTCAAAGTGAATCACTTTCTTTCTCATCTTATATTGTTTTTAACCCTATAACCTATATCCATATTTATTAAGCAATGAAAGCAGACCCAAACACCCTATTGGCTGTCTGTAAATTAACATACCATTCTCTCTCTCTCTCCAGACGAATAATGCCTCAGACTTGAGAATGTAATTGATAGGATAATCAGATTAAATCAAGTCTTAACAACCACCCATAACAACAAACCTGTTGAAACACCTAGAGGTCTTTTCTCCCTGATGTTGTGACTGTCCTGAAATCTTTTGCCTGCCACATACAAATGTCAGCCACATAATTATCTTTTTGTTAAGGCAGAATACGTTGTTTAGGCTGTTTAACAAGGAGGCACACCTGTGTGTCTTGTAGGAAGGGACTAATTAACAGTTACCTGTGTCACTGGGACATCTGCAGCAGGTGGGAGGGCTGGAGGTAGCTCTGAGGAGGAAACCAGAAGTGCCCCTGGCACAGCCTGGAGCTCTGAGGCCAGCTGAGAGGGCTCCGAGGCTTTTTCCAGACTTTCCTCTTCACCTGATGATGCTATTGGAACACTTTCTACCTCTTCCACTTCTTCTCCTTCTCCTTCTCTTTCTCCTTCTTCTTCCTCTTCTTCATCTTCATCTTCTGGTAAGGTAAGATATTTTAAAAACTGCTATAATGACCACTGTAGCCATGGGAGAAGTTAATGGCTGGTATTTATAGCCAAGGATAAGGTCAGAACAGGCAAAGTCCTCTCCAATTGACCTTTGACAGTGATCCATGTGTGCCATTCTGGGCCTTGTGCTTCTACTTAAGTGTGGCCAGGACAAATGTTAAGGGAGCCCAACTATCACCTTCCTCCTGGCTCTCTTTCCCAAAACAAAGTCCTCATCCCCACTGGGTATCAACCACCTCACACTACAAAGCCTGTGCACATGTTAGCATAGTCTGCCACATCTGCAAGCTCCTGGAGGGCTGGGAATGTCCCTTATTCATCTCTGTCAAATTAAATGGAAATGCAATTATCTTCCCTGTCTCAGAAAATATGCAAAGTCCTTATCTCGTTTTAATTTCTTATTGCCTTTGTTCAATGAATATACTGACTTTTGCTATCATTAATGCCATGACTCTTCTTAACCCACTAGAAACATTAAGGACAGACAATATTAAATAATTTTTTAAAAATTCATTCTGAAGATTTGATTAAAAAATGACATCTGTGGATGCTGGTACAACCTTATATTATTAGTGGACCAGAAGAGTGATCTTGTCATCTAGCTGGACTAGGATGAATAAAGGTGATTGAAGTTTCGCTTGGCTCTGAGGTTATTTTCCTATTTTCAACTACTTCCTCAAGGTAAATATCTTGGAATGTGATTTTTAGGCCAATGGGTAAGGGTGACTTATAGTTCATGGGTGTATCTGGTCACATAGACTCAACTTTATTTCCAGGTTGTGACTTATTCTACGAGTCGTTACTATTATTTTTAAAATTTTTAAAAATATCATTTATTTTTTTAAAGGTATTCTCCCCCCCCCCTTAGGGTGCCAGAGAGAGAAAGAGACAGTAAGAGGGAAAGTAGGAAATCACCACCTTGGGGGTGGGGGGGAATGACCATGCCACAACCTCTTCTCCTCCATTCTTCTCCTGAGATCTTGGGCATGCACACACATGTGCTCAGCATGAGTTTCAAGCCACCAGGTCCGGGACTGGAACCATGGTCAGCCATATGGGAGTCCAGCGACATAACTACTAGGCTATCTCCTGGTCCCTAAGTTGTTACTATTCTTAACCTCTAAAGTATGAGATGCTGATATATTACAATATGTAGTTCAGATGTCTTCCATGTTTGATTTCTATCTCATCCTTACCCTTGCTCCTGATGACACTTTATATCATGTGACTAACATCTGTGTAGCACTGATGTTGAAATATCATCATCACCATCAATTATTAAGTACTTGACTACCCAGAGTCATGCCCAATAATAGTGTTAAAACAGTCAAAGCTAAACAAACACTGTCAACAAACCATATGACCCTGTTGTGAAATGGAGTTTCACATTGGATTATGATCTTTATAAACTGTCGACAGCCATCCTGTAGACATTTTGAATCTCCCTTTTCTTCCTGCCCAACTCTTCCATGGCTTTCACACACTTGCAGTTTTGGCCAAATGGTCAAAAGAATAACAAACCTCTGTAAAAATCAATTTCACGTATTATTTTTTCTTCTCGATTGAGGTTGACTGCGAACTGGTTCATGTTCTCATAACCATGTTCTATTTTCTCCATCTGAAATGCCTTTGATGCTTCAGAGATTCTACAACAAAAACAAGTTGCCATTTTTCTGTCACCATTTAAAGTTTGAAAGCCTTGGGTAAGAATGAAAATACACATTTTTTCATAAAATAAAAATTACTTACTTTTGTAAGAGGGTTTTGGCATTCTGTGAAAGCAAACAAAAGATAGGCTTACTCAAATTCTTTATGTTTTATTAACTCTTTCTTTCTCTCTTTCTTCCTTCTTTCTTTTTAAAGACAAGGTCTTGCTATGTTGCTATAGTTCTGTCTCAGGCTCCCAGCTGGGGCTATGGGTGTATCCCACCAGGCCTGGCTCTTTTTATCAGACAGGATCTCATTACATTGCCTTGGCCAGCATCAAGTACCCAGTTCTCCTTCCTCAGTTTCCCAAATTCCCTAGGCATATTACTTGGCCTGTAGATTGCACGGGGAATCAAATCCAGGCCTCTTGTGTGGTCCAAGCCTGTGAAGCACAGTGTTTTAGCAGCCCATGTTACCAAGACTAGGCTACTTAATTTTTTCATCAAAGATAGTGTTGAAACTTAACTGTTTCCTTTGCTGACTCTGAGAATCTCACAGCTTAGTTTTTAAATGCTACGAATAACTGTTATTTTATATCAGAACCCTGCATATTTAGTAATGCTGTGCGTATGTGGTGTGTTTATTAATTTATTTGAAGAGATAAAGATATAAGCATATATGGGATTTATATTTTAGTTGGTAAAAAAAAGGCAAAATACAATATACATAAAATAATGAAAATATTGGAACAACTAATTTTTCAGCACTCACTTTTTGGGTTTGATTCTTTGGTGCCAAAAAAGACTTACCTGCAGAAACACTGCCATTTCTGGCTCATCCATGAATTGGATTCCTGACTCAACTAACTTTGATACATTTTCCAAATGATCAGAATACTTTTTGATTAGAGCACGGACGTGTTCCAGTTTCTCCTCTTGGGTTCGGGTAATAACTTGGGTCATTTCATTCTTCCTCTCCTCCAGGATGCCGTAAAGGTAATCGAACTTCTCACACAGCTCCTGTTTCTGTTTTCTGCAGCACTCCTATTAGTTGGGTTAGCTAATGTTAGAAACTGTTTGAAAGAAAGCACCTTTGGAGAAATCACCTGGACATTCTGTGAGATAAGAATGTTTACTGGTGTAGGATATCTTAATCTTTTCCTTAAGATGTCCTTTTAGGAATAGATTCAATGTGGTTGATGCTTCAAAAATTTCATTTTAATTTTAATTAATTAATTAATTTGTTTTGGAGAGGTTTTTGCTATATGGTGCATGTGCTTGCCAGAACGACAGAGAGAGGCAGAGAAATAGAAAGTGAGAAATCACCCTCCAGGGGGGATGGCCACGCTGCAATCCCTTCTCCTCCTTTCTCCTTGGGATCTTGGGCATGCATGCACACACGCCCGGCATGAGATTAAGCCACTGGGTCCAGAACTCGAACTGCAGTCGACTACATGAGAGTCCAGGGACATAGCCATTACGCTAACTGCTGGTCCTAAAAATTTCATTTTTATTGAGTTTGGTATTTAGGCAATCCAAAAATCAACCAAATTGGCTAACTGAATCCATAATTTGTTCAATCATCTGCTCTTTATGAAATAAAGAAATTAGGGCAGGTTTTGTTTTGTGTTTTGGTTATGCAAGGAGATCTTCAAAAGGTTAATGGAAAAATGAATGTTAGGGAAAACTATGCATGGATTTTTTTTTTTTTTTTGCAACACAGTAAAATTTCACTTTAATGTCATTTTTCCACAAATTTTTTTTTTTTGGATGGTTGTGCACTCCCAGAGAGAGACAGAGAAACAAAGAGAGGGGAAGAGGAGAAAGCACCGTCCATGGGGAATGGTCATGCTGTGATCCCTTCTCCTCCATTTCTCCCTCCTTTTGGGATTTTGGGCACACACCCAAAGCACGTTTTCCAAGCTGCTGGATTTGGAACTCAAACCACATAGTTGGCCATGTGGGATCTGGTTTCTATCTGGCCATGTAGCCACCCCTCTACACACTTTGTGAAGTCCTCTAATGTAAGTTACAGATTATATTTTGTTTTAGAGTGTGTGTGTGTGTGTGTGTGTGTGTGTGTGTGTGTGTAAAACATGGTACCTTTTGGGTTTTATTCTTCAGTCTCTCTCTGCTCCCCCTATACTGACCTTGTCCTAGTTTCAATACTCCCATGTATCTTACCAAGGGTTCTGCTTCTGAAATTTCTCCTTCCAAGCCAACCCATATGCTGTAGCCAACTTAATTTTCTCAGTGTGAGCTTCTATTTGTGCTTCTTTTATGATTCCACATTACACATAGAATAACATTTATACTTCATCAATGGCTTTCAAGACCCTCTGTGATCTGGTTCCAGATTTTATAATACCTACTCTTCTCCATTACATACCCTGTATTCCAGCAAATATGAACCATTCACTGTCTTTATTCACACTCTTCCCTTTCTGCATTGTTCTTCTCCAAGTCACAGTTGCAAATGCTAAGCAATCTCAGAGACGCTGGAGGAACACAACTTCTCCATAAAGCTTCCTTGATATCGATGGTTGAATGCCGTCTTTTCATTTTCTAAAATTCCACAACAGTGACCATTTATGGCACGCAGCTGTAATCCTTTATTTATCCCACACTATCTAAGAGAGGGAAATAGAGGATCTGGTCTTTGTTCCTAGAGAAAAAGCCTATATGGGATATCTAGACTGCACTTTTGACTCTGTAGCTGGCAGCACCTCTAGTACCATCCAGCTCTCTGCACTATGAGTCCATGTTTAATCATAATTTTCTAGTTGGTCTAGTCACTGGCTTTTTGTTTTTTCAAGGTCTTATAATCTTGGTACATGTGTCTGTCAATCTTCTCAGACCTCCTTACCATCTGAGAGATAGTTGTGAGCCTTAAGGATCCAAACTATCTTTCCTCTTTAGTAGGGACTTCTTGAGAATCCAGCTAATTTATGTCTGACATCTGTGACTGTCACACGACCATACATGTTCTCTTACTGTCGTAAACATTGACATCATGAATATCATCTTTTGCTTTCTTTACATGGTTTTCTTAAATACCTAAACTAGAGATAGTCTCCAAAGTATGCATAAAGTAGATACATACTAAGATACTCAGTAAATATCTGTTGAATAGGGTTCTAAAAAGTTGTTTCATTTTCCCCTAACTTCTCTACTATTCTCAGGATAAAAAGATGAAATAGAATGACCTAAACCAATGGTTGATTATGGCTATTCCCCCCCTTTGGAGAGATTTTTGTTATAGGGCACATGTGCTCACCAGAGAGAAAGAGAGATGGGGAGGAAGTGAGAAATCCCCCCCACCAGGGGATGGCCACACTGTAATCCCTTCTCCTCCATCCTCCTCAGAATTTTTGGCCAAATTTTTTATTAGGAAGATACTCCACAAAGTGCAAGAACTACAACCCTTGTTCTACTGCCTCTCTTGAAAAAGTCAGTTCTCATTATGGTTTTCAGTCAAATTATAATGCATGAAGGAGATCCAATAGTTGAAGCCATTTTATGATTCAAACCAGTGAACACCAGTCACTGATGTCATCCACTCCTCTATTCATTATTTTTTATTTCTTAAGAGAGATTTTTTATTATAGGGTGTGTGTGCTCATTGGAGAGACACAGAGAAACAGAGAGATAGAAAGCGAGAAATCACCTCCCAGGGGGTGGGCCACACAACAGTCTCCTCTCTTCTGTTCTCTCAGGATTTGGGGCATGTAGACACATGCACCTGGTGTGATTTTCAAGCCTCCAGATCCAGGACAGGACTTGAACTACAGTTGACCACGTGGGAAGCCAGTGCCTTAACCACTACACCACCTGAGGCCCCTCTAATCATTCATTTAACAAGCAGTTCTTAAGTGTGTTATTCATGCCATGCACTATGCAAGACTGGGGAGCTGAAAATGAATTAAACATAGTTCTTGGTCTCAATGAGCTCAGAGTTCACTGAATGAGAAACACTATAGGTCAATAATGTAACACAATATAGTAGCTGAATAATGGAAATATGGTAGAGATTTATACCAGAGTTTAGAAACACAGAGGTGGGACTGATCTTAATCTAACTTTCTCCAGGTGGGGAACATTTGTGGAGAATAGAAGTGTTCTCTAAGAGAGAGCTTCGGAAAGAAACTGATGCCCAAGTTTGGTCTTAAAGTGTAAGTAGGAGGCCCAACAGTGGCATACACTGCTAAGACACTGCTCTGCATGTCAGGACCACATGGAAAATCCTGGTTCAATTCTTGGTCCAAGCACAAGAGTGTGGTGGTGTGTACTTGTAATCCCAGAGGCTCTGGGAGAGGCTGAAGCAGGATCTTGAACTTGAGGCTTGCCTGGACAATAAAAGGAGACCCAGTCTGAAAAAAGAGTTGGGTGTGGTGGGATGCCTGTAGTCCCAGCTGGGAGGAGGCTGAGGCATGAAAATTGTGACATGGCAAAATCCCATCTTAGCAAAAAGAAGGGGGGAGTGGATAGTGTAGTGGTTAAGGGACTGGACTTCCACATGGCCGACTATCGTTCCTGTCCTGGATGTGATCACTTGAAAATCATACTGGGTGAATGTGCAGGCATGCCCAAAGTCCCAAGAGGTGAATAAAGGAGAAGGGATTGCAGTGTGGCCATGCTCTCTGTGGGGTGATTTCTCACTTTACCTTTCTCTCTCACTCTTTCTTTCTCTCGTGAGCACACACACCCTGTGGCATAAACCTAAAAAAGTAAAAATGTGAATAGGAGTAGAAGAGGTTGGAGCAGAGTACAAAAATATGTGGAGTCTCCATAGTTGCCAAAGTAACAGGACAACAATCTACACAGCCTGTCAAGATGTGGAAATTGGCAGGCTTGCCACATTTCCATCCATTTTCAGCCCTTTAGCTGAGAACTTTGCGATCTGACTTTCTTTAGCTGCATTAACTTCTGTTGTAAGCTTACATGCAACCATATGCCCATTGCAAACCTGAAATATGCCTCATCAATATTTAGAAGTTCTGTTGTTTACTGTGACTATATGATGGTTTCCAGCTCGTTGTTCTAAAATGAATTGTGCACCTGAAACATTTGAGTTTTATATCAAGGTGGGATTCTGATAGAATATCTCCATTTCATAAAAATTTTCTTCTATGTTATTCACTATGTGTTCAAGTTTGTGAAAACCAAATTATTTGCAATGAGACTCATGTGAAGTTATGTGTATTCTCTCAAGTGAAATAAATGTTAGATCATTTATTTCAGCCATATCAACTTATTTAGTGGTTTAAATGAAATACCTACTTTCATTCCTATATTATTTTCAATTCTAAGTATTCGTGTATTTTTATTGTGGATTTTAAATAACTCGTACAATACTGAATTTTAATGAAATCACTGTCATTCAAATAGCAACTCTTATTTGCTAATACTTTACAGTATAAGGAATGCTACCCCCTGTATGACCTAGGCTTTGTTGTAATTATTACATCGCAACCTACTCTGTGAAGAACTTAGATGATCTGGTACACACACAGTACTATATCAGTGTGTATCAGATTTAGGTCTGAAGTCCTTAATTTGACGTATTTGGTTGTGGAATTTTGAGGCTGTGTGAAATATTATTGGGTTGTTGGAAAAGTCATGACACCTTTTTACATAGAAAAAGTATGTCATGACTGTGTAACCAGCTCCAAAACAACCATTTTATTCATGTGGAAACTGACACCCAACAGTCGTCACTTTCTCAAGGCCGTTCTACCATTTATTCTGGGTGCTTGGCCTACAGTCAAGGTCTTCGTGCCATTGCTATTCTCACCATCCCCAGCTGTGCCCACACTTTTAAATAACTTAAAAAAGTATTACACGGAGTTCTTGTGAACTGAATATACGCCTTTTAATAAATTTACTCTGCTGAAAATAGGCTTTTTAAAGACAAGAAACTTCATATTATTTCTGAATTGTATTCATTAGTTCAGGCCTTCAACAAAACTTACTAAGTCCTTACTACACACCAGGCAGTATACCACTGAAACACCTGCCGTAATTTTCCAGTGTTCAGGAAAATT